GTTGTTGCTGTTGTTTTAATAATAGTAAGAGTTAACGTTAGTATTATTCAAATATATATTATTCAAAAATATACCGCTACAGTGAAGGAATAAACATCTAGTCATGTACAGAAAATAATGAATTTTTGATATGGATTTAAAAGAACAGCTCGAGCCAACCTTATTGTAGTTAAATCTTTAGGCAGGTTACTCATCTGTGTCATTTGCTCATTTCGGCACATAGAAACCGAACCATGTCCTGAATAATCTTACAACAGACTTGCAACGATAAAATAATTCATTTGTTTATACTGATTTCGTGGATTCTGCCAGTAGAATGGAATGCCACTATACGGTGAGAAAGGGTTAATCTTCCTGGGTGTGTCGGATTACATGAAATTTTGCACTCAGTTGATGTCTTCAGTGTGACATTAACATTTCAGTTTCATGGTGCTCAGAAATCACAACAGTGCACTGAGCGAAAGCTACCTGCAATTTGTGGTTACATCTATTTTCTCTCCTATTATTTCAGTTGAACATCTACCTAGACCATCATCTCAAAGAAACCAAAGAAAAGCTTTTCACCAACTTTAAAAAAAAAACACTGGAAAGATCAAGTATTGTAGAAGTGATCCTGTTGTTAGTAGTTTAATGGCGGACCAACAGCAACAATCTTCACTGGTGAAATCATCATCTTCACCATCTTGTCTTCTGATATCCAATGAGGTAACAGATGTTGGAATGACAAACAGAGGAGTCACAACGCTGGAATCTCCCAAATTAAACCTTACATCAGCTCTGGTAACACGCACAAGTAATGCATCCATAAATTCAATGAATAATGATGCTGAAAATGTTACTTGTTTTTTCTCAGCAGCAGAAATTTTAGAGGACCAGCTCATGAGAAATTGACCAGAGTTTGACTATGAAACTTGTTTGCAAACAAAGACATCTCCTATTTTGGGTAACACAATTTTTTTTTTATCATTGCATCTCATTAAACTAAGACCCATATTTCAATAGAGGACAATATAACTTGAAATGCTACATTCTGCTTTTTCTGACAAATAAATGTAGGACTACTGTAACTAATACATTCTTTCTATGCTGCAGTGTTGCTTCATTGGATGTTTGGATATAAGTGCTAGATTAATTTTTCGATTTTGCCATCTTCTGCATCATCGTTCGCCAGCTCAGCAACTTTCCAGTACACTGATGACAAAGAGCCAACCATCAGAGAGATGTTCAGGCTCTGACAGCGATGAAAACTTTCCATGTAAAGTGCTAAGTGACAAAGCATCCAAAGAGTTCTTATGAGGAAATTAAGATGAAAACAAGAATTCCCTTAAAGAGAGAGAATTTCTCTAGTCTGTCATCAGTGTCATCATCAGCATCTTATCCAAATAAGTGAAAGCTTTTAAGCATAAATATATTTTGATATAGAGTTTGAGTAATATGTATTTTTAATAATTGCAGAGTCGTCCTATGGGTATAGTATGGGTAGTGTTGTGGTATCAGGTGTGGCAGATAACCAAATAATGACTAATCTTTTAAGAAAAAAAATCCCAGAAGATATTTTTGGAAAATTTTGTACACCCAGACATGTGTTAGTTTGAATTGTACATCAAACATTTTAATCATTATCATGATTTTACCTTTGCATACAAGAAGACTTTATAAGTGAATTTCCCTGTTTCTAGCTTTTCCCCAAACAGTTCACTGCAGCAAAAGTAAATGAGCAAATGGTGGCACAGGAGCTCTCAGGAGTGCATTTGTTTCATTCTTTTTTTCTTTTTTGCCTGGGAGTAATGCCGTCCTGGTATTTCTACAAATGTACAACGGCAGCAGAGAAGAAACATATGAAGGAGTTGCTCTTTTCTTTTTTCAGTAAAGGACACCAACTCCATAACAATGCCCATGGTTTTGGAAAGGGATGTTCACTAAGCACATATGGGTGTGATGGTCAGGTGTCCACATACTTTTGGCCATATAGTAGGTGGACACCTGACCATCTTACTTAGAAAACAAGAAGCTAAACAGACCAAATGTGGATAAAAAAATATTTAATGTAATTTCTTGCTGAATTCATGTGAACAAGAGTGATAGAAGACATGAGGGCGACAGATGCGCTCTCTCACGTGGAACTTTGGTAAATTGCAGGATACGCAAAGTGAAGATGACTTTCATATCAGTGATTATGAACCAACATCACAAATGAAATCAGCCAAAAACTCCTGCTTGGTGAGTGAAATATACTAAATGCCTGATTTTATAGCCTCATATTACATTTCATTCAAGGGGGTTGATATCTTGATGTAGTAATAAAGCACAGTATGTAGATGTTTCATAGTTTCATAGTGAGGCCAATTAAATTTCGCCTGCTTAATTCTGAGTTTTTGATGAACGTCAACGTGATTTGGTACAGTTTAAGAGGGAGGGCCTTGTGAAGACTCCTTGAAAATGTCAAATCTGAAAGTCCAGAATTCCCCCAAACCTCCCAAATGACAATGTACAATGCTATAACAGAAACCCTCATAACAGCAGCCCCATCTCTCTAGCATAAGTTATGTTATTTTGAATTGTCATGCTTTTCAAAATGAAGAGAACTTGAAAACAAGAAGATTTAAAGAGGTAGCAGAACTGAGGTAAGTGGTGGAGATGATATATTAAACTAATTAAAGATGACAACTGTAGGCCAAGCCACTAGTTTCAAGTTTACTGGCATGTGCATAAAGAGTGCTTTAAACATCTGTATACAGTGAAATTCTTGTGCTACAGTTGCACACTCCTACCCAGACACAGTGCAAAAATGATGATGAGCTAACAAGCTCTTACGTAGAGCACTAATGAACACTAAGTAATGTAATGCTAGCCTAACATCATTCTGAAATGCAAGTAGCTAGCTAGAAGTTGTTTCTTGGTTTGGTGGAATGTAATGTTAATTATTTAGCTAGGTTTTTTTGGTAGAATTAGTCTTTTTGCTCAGATTGTTTGGTCTTTTAAAGTGCATACAAAGTGCAAATTCCAACACCTTCCCAAAGGTGTTCTGTTGTGGCCTATGTGATATAACAGTGGTTTATCTAATTGGTAAGCTTGAACTAGCACTACATCTAGCATGAACAATATAACACTTTCAGAGAGTTATCCATTTTTTTTAGTAAAAAAGCATACATTTTGGTTTTGCCCCTTGTTCAACCCCTTACTAGAGATCAAAATACACTTCCTTCTACAAGAAATAGTACTACTATATACACTTCTTTTATTTATTAGGAGCACTTTTTAAGGAACTCTATACTAATACTGGGTGTAACTAATACTAATACTTTGCTCTCAAAACAGCCTCAATTCTTTGTGGTATGGATTCCACAAGTTGGAAACATTCTGGTCCATGTTGACATGATTGCATCACACAATTCCCGCAGATTTTTCAGGTGCACTTTCATGCTGTGAATTTCCCCGTCTACCCCATCCCAAGGATGTTCTATTAGATTCAGATCCAGTGACTGGGAAGGCCACTGAAGAACATTGAACTCATGAAACCAGTTTGAAATGACTTTTGCTTTGTGACATGGTGCATTATCTTGCTGGACGTAGCCATTAGAAGATGGTAAATTCTGGCCATGAAGGCAGGTTGGGTCCATGGACTCAAGCTGTTGGGGGCAAATTCTGACCATCTGTGTGTGTAAGAGGCTGCACAAAACTGCCGGCAGCCAGCAGAGGGAGGCAGCAGCGCACAGTGAGAGCGGCTGTGCGGGAAAACTCAGTTGCCCAGAATTATTTAAGGCATGGCCAGGAACAGAGAAAGAAAGTAAGCCAAAGATATAAGACACAATTGAGAAGAAGAGAGAACTAATGGATAAAAAGTATCTCTGAAATATAATTAGTGAAAACTACCTTCCTTAAGATTCCCATTTTGTACACCATTTTGGTGTCTCCTTTGTTTGGTTTTTCCCGACGTTTTCCTGACTCTGCATTGGGGCAGTGCCTGCCTCCTCTCTAGTTCATCCTAGTGGTGTGGTGCTTGAATGTATGTGGAAGTTCCTGGTTCTAGCCCCACAGGGGGCTGTTTTTTTTTAAAGTACACTAAAACACACCCAAACCCTTCTCTTAAAACCTTACCTACATATAAACACTACTTGCTCATTTATTTATAAGCAAGCAGGGGTTTCTGTCTCAGAAGAAATCGAGATTCATCAGACCAGGCTACATTTTTCCAGTCTTCAACTGTCCAGTTTTGGTGAGCCTGTGCCCACTGCAGCCTCAGCTTTCTGTTCTTGGCTGATAGAAGTGGAACCTGATGTGGTCTTCTGCTGTTGTAGCACATCCATCTCAAGGTTCTATATGCTGTGCATTCTGAGATGCTTTTCTGCTCCCCACAATTGTACAGAGTGGTTATCTGAGTTACCGTAACCTTTCAGTTAGCTCGAACCAGTCTGGTCATTCTCCGTTGACCTCTCTTATCAACAAGGCGTTGATACCACTTACCATCAGAAATTCAAGGATTCATTCCCACCCAAGAGTGAAATATGACAGAAAAGAATTCAAGAATTAAAGAATTAAAAAGCCCAGCAATCACTTTTAACAAAACCCACTGAGACTACAGAGGCTTCTTTCTGTGTTAGCCAGCTCCTGGCCAAGTACAAGAAGCCCCTTTACTAATGATGTGTTTTTGAAAGAAGTGATGACGGTCACCTCTGACACTTTATTCACAGACTTTAAAAGCGAAGAAGAAGAAGACATAAAAACATAGAACCATTTGGTCCAGCAATGGTAATGAGAAGCACGGAGTTGTTGTGTGAGAACATTCTGATCAGATTCTCAAGGATTTACAAATGCTTTCCAAGTACCTCACACATCTAACTGATAGACACCTGAACGACTGCATTAGGCTGGAGGTCTCCACTTATCCTCCAAATTACAAAGCATTGACTGAGAGAGCTCAGGCACCACCATCACATTGACTTAAGGAGTCAAAATATTAACTCTATAGCCTGTATAATTTGAACTGTACACTCTGTGCATGTCTGGAGGACTAGTGGTTAGGCCTCGTCGCTCTGACCACCATGGCCCGGGTTCGATTCCCTGCCAGAGAACCGACCCCAGCCACTGGGGGTGCACAGGCTAGCTCACTCCCAGTTCCGGTCCCAAGCAAGCCTGGATAAAATTGGGGAAGGTTACGTCAGGAAGGGCATCCAGCATGAAAACTGTGCCAAATCAAATATGCGGACCAGTGATCTGCCGTGGCGACCCCTAACAGGAGCAGCCGAAAGAGGAACAACAACAACAATAACACTCCGTGCATGTTGTAGTAACAATATTAACGTTTCCATGCCTGTTGTTGCTTAGTGATATTTGGACGGTATTACTGCGGTACTACGATTATTGAATCCGCACTGCTTTACTGTTTGTAAAGTAGTAATTACTCCTGATGAGCTTCTTGTAAATTTTTTTTTTTGGGTGGGGACAGAGTATAATAACGTTTCATGGAAGATCTTAACCCAAGTTTTAATCCACTAATTAAAAATAATTAGAAACAAACTGCTCATAACATAATATATTTTTCATTCTGTTTTTATATACAATTACATGAGTCTCCGTAGAGACCGTCAAAAATTGCCATAGCCGACTATATTTCAAGTCGTCAAGGCGGGGTATTGGGTAAAGTTTTCAACTAGCAATAATCGCGCCTCGGATAAACCTCATAGGCTACGATACTGCCACTGCGCAAAGCTGAAGAATAGATTACCAACACCAAGAGACGAACTCAAATGATTAGCAAACCCGCTGACGGTAAACAGGAAATAGCCACCTACTCAAAGCATAAACAGTGGTGTAATAAATATCACCTGAATATACACAGAATAGACACACTGATCACTGAATGAACCATTAATTCCTTTTAAAAACACATCTAGAAATATCCGCAATGCATTCTGGGAGACAACCAATGAGCGGGCAGGAACCAATCAGACGCGAGAGATTTCTGAGGGACGTTTCTGTAACTGTATAAAGATATACACCGCGAAATCCTGTTGAATGTTTCCTGGTTTGTTTAAAAAAAACATAGTTTATTCAGAAATCGCATGAACAGCCGTCGCTATAGCAACTGATATTAGTTTTTGGAGTGTAAACACTTCCTGTTGGCGCTTCGTGGCTGCTGACGTCATCACGGAGGCAGGCAAAGAAAGTCCACGTGACACGACAAGATTTTATATATATATATATATATATATATATATATATATATATATATATATATATATATATATATATATATATATATATATATATAACATAGTTAATAACATAGTTATGTTCATTACTTAATAATAATAAGGATATTAAAAAAAAAAAAAAAAGTGAGTCAGTGAGTGAGTGAGTTTTCTACTTCCGGTCGATATTGCTCCACTAGATGGCTGTAGAACTGCATGGATTTCCAATTCCATCTGAGGTTATTTCTTAGGTGAATTGTCCCACTTGGAGAACATCTTAAAGGGCTGTACAATCTTCCTCAAACAATACCAGCTTTGTTCCAAGTTGCTTAAGTGTTGAATGATACTTTTGGAATAAATGATTAGTTTGTTTGATTCTACAGATGGAAGTGTTGTTTGTTTTTGTTCTTCCAACTCTCCCATTATAATCGCTGCGAATGTTTTGAAAGATCAACCATCATTCGCATTATCTAAGCATGGCCTTATTGGCTGTCAAGACCTGTCAGATCCTTTTAAAGAGAACAGAGTCACAGAGCCACATGCTGACAGTGACACTGATTAAGAAGACAGATAACTTACACCTTTACAGAATGCTAGAACTTCCAACCCATGTACATGTACTGTATATTATCTATATCTATATGTATCTATATCTATATCTATCTATACACATATACACACACATACACACACATATATATATATATATATATATATACACACACACACACACACACACACACACACACACATATACAGTTAGGTCCGGAAGTATTTGGACAATGACAGAGTTTTTGTGATTTTGCCTTTATACACCACCACAATGGATTTGAAATAAAACAAACAAGATGTGATCAAAGTGTAGACTTTCAGCTTTATTTTAAGAGGTTCCACAAAAATATGGCATTTACCATTTAGGAATTACAGCCATTTTCAGCAAAGTACTTCCATTTTCAGGGGCTCAAAGGTATTTGGACAATGCGACATAATTGTAAATATAACCATATTTTAATACTTGGATGAAAATCCTTCAAATCCATTGTGGTGGTGTATAAAAGCAAAATCACAGAAACTTCGTCATTGTCCAAATACGTCCGGACCTGACTGTATGTATATGAATACTGTGTCATAAGACTGATATGTATTAACTATATCATAAATACACATGGAAGATGTCATAAGCTGTCATGAATTCCCACGTCAGTCTACATTCAGTGATAGGTGTTTATATAATTTACAATTGCTGGTAACAGAGAATTTCACATTATTTTTCTCATATGTGTGCTGTTAGAATGCATTATGATACATAAAGTTGAATACAAATGTCTACGTCAGCTATGTTTCTAAATGTACCTCTCTTTTAAAAATGATCAGAAAAATAAAGCCACAACATCCAAATAAATTAAATGACAAATTGCTTCTTTTTTTTTCTTTTTTACATTTAAATCACGCTGAGCATATTTCAGAGTATGCCTAGGTCTAAGCACAAACATTAGAAATGTTTCAGACAAACCTGAGTGACATTTATTATACAACAATAAGCAACAATTTGTTATTATGTACACAGCACCATGTTAGTCCTTGTAGTTCACGTTAATGGCTATTACATTTTTCTAAATAGGGAATGAAAAGATGTGACAGGAATAAGAATCTTCGAATTTGCTTGATGTAAAATTTGTCTGCAAGTGCAGAGATCTGGAGTATGCTACACAGTGAGAGAAAAACTAAGGAAATTTGCAAACCAGCTTCTGGAGGTTTTCTGGAATGTTTTTCTGTCACATCTAGTATATTAAGCCTTGAACTAGGCTGTTATTATACACTATATCACCAAAAGTATGTGGACACCTGATCACACCTTGCTTGTTAAACATTGCATTCCAGATTTAGTCCCCCTGTTGCTGTTATAATGACCTCCACTTTTCTGTGAAGGCTTTCCATTAGATTTTAGAACGTGGTCTGGGGTGCAGTCGGTGTTAGAGTTTATGCCAAAGGTGTTCAGTGGGGTTGAGGTCAGGGCTCTGTGCAGGCCACAACAGTTCTTCCACATCAACCTTGGCAAACCATGTCTTCATGGAGCTCGCTTTGTGCACAGGGGCATTGTCATGCTGGAACAGGTTTGGGCTTCTTAGTTCCAGTGAAGGGAAATCTTGCAGCTATAGCATACAAAGACATCCTATACAATTGTGTGCTTCCAATGATTTGGGAGAGAACCACATATGGCTGTGATGTTCAGGTGTCCATATATGTTTGGCCATATAGTGTATACTGTATATAACCTCATTAGTAGATAATTAAATAAAAATCAACCTAGTGTTATCTCCCTACTTCTATCCATGTTTCACATCCACATATAACCTCTTGCTCCACAATTTTGAATGTATGGATAGAATATCGTGGCAGAAGTGAATGTCTTTCATATCCCTTAGCAGTCAAGTTGTCAGCTTGATTTTCTCTGGTGAGCTCCAGTTGTCTGTCATCCTGACAGTGCACACTGGGGGTCTGAGCATTTCTAATTGTGGTGTCAGATTAGGATCCTTCAGCTCAGCAGAATGAACATCTGTTCTATTTTTTCCCCTAAACGTTTCCAGACAACTTAGAGTCGGTCTCTGTTGTTAAAAAAAAAAGGTATGGATTTCAGAGGTGAAAACTATGTGTACTTCGCTTTTTATAGATCTACACTACATTCTTATTAAAAAAAAGTTTATGTAAAATCTGTAACATATGCTGTAGTTTAAAGAACACTGATCCTATTGATTTTATGATTTGTTAAGACTGTAAAAAGCCTCTAATGGTGTGATATATGTTCATGTATAACTGCCAGAGGAATGGGTTCAGTTGTCAGCTGTGACACCTGATAGCAGCAGAAGGATGAAGCAAGGAGAAATATTTACACTTCTCAGTTCCAACCAATGCACTTCACTTCTCAGCAGCAGACTTAATTGAAAATTACTACTAAAGGAAATCATTTCTTATTTCTAGTCATTTCTGTGTCTCATAGATATCAGGTCTACTGCTGCTGTAATCATAAAGACTGTCTTGCACTCATCCCAGGACTCTTATTCACAATATGTTCATACTGTTCATTAGGGAAGTCTAGAACGGTCATGAGTTATTTATATTTTTCTGTGCTGTTATCTTGATATCACGACTTATTTTACATCTTTCATCATGGATGAGCGCATCTGATTTTACTTTAATCAGGGACTGACACAAGAGGAAGTAGCTTTATGTTTGTCAATGCTAGACAATTTTCAAATTAGTGTCCGTCACTTGAGAAGGCGACTCAGAAATCTGCAACTATACCATTGTGGACACTATAGTGATCCTAAACGGGTGGTCGGTCTTACTGCCAGCCAACTTGAGGGACCAGAATGTCTCCATAGTTATGGCAGGATGTTTGAGAGATGCCGCCTATATGATCTGCAGCTCACAAGACAAATGGTGATCCAAGTATTTGTAAATAGGATGTAATTACTGCAGAATCGCCATAACACTTCCACCAGTATATGGCAGTGTGGCACTGGCCACAGTGATGTAATGCTAGTATGCTACTGGTATGTGATCTCAGAAAATTAATTTTGGTGTCCCGAGATCATGAGAAAAATAAGTTATGATCTTGAGAAAACGACTTTTGTTATCTTGAGATTGCAAGAAAAATAATGCTGCGTGCATGGTGCCTTGTACGTGGACATTTGCAAGTTGTAATAACGGGATGTTCGACATACAAAGTGGAAAAAAACATGGGCGCCTCCATGAAAGTGTGTCTTTTGTGTGCTCTGTCAGAGCACATAAAGCTCATAAAGAGCTAATTTAAGCGCACTTTTACAATTACAGGCCTGAGTGGCTACTGGTTCTGTTCCACTATAGTGACCTTCAAACAT